CACTTGCCTCCTTAAGCGTAATTAAAAAAAAAAAAATATATATATATATATATATATATATATATATATATATATATATATATATATATATATATATATATCCCGCAGTTTCGCCTTCCACAAGTTTCCTTATAGTCTAATCAAGTGTAGTATTATTCTTACAGGAAGATACAACTCTACATAGCGTTTTATATGGTTATACATGTTGCCCCTTAGCTGATATGATGAAAAAGAAAAATATAATATGGAATTCCTCGCCAACGTAAAAATAAAAATAAAAAATGTGAGAGAAATATGTTTTTTCTGTGTTTAGTAATAAATTTCGAGTAAAAACGTGTTTGATTCCCGATCAAGGAAAATATGTGTTTAATAAAGGATTTAATATTTTCTTATAAATGAAAAATAAAATTATCTCCTCTATACACATGAAGTGTGTGAGGTCTTGTGAGGAGAAAAAAAAAAAGGGTAGTACATACCCTTGTGTATGTGTAGCAGATAATAACCCTCTAATTTTGACCTCAAAAAAAATATTATTTTGAGGTTAGAAAAAATGATATTTTTGTAATTCTAATTTATTATTAAATTATATTAGTTTTTAGCATTTTTTTTTCTTAATCTCAAAACAATGTTGTTTTACAATATCTCCAATTAGTGATGAAACATTAAACCCTTAATAAATAGTGTGTCAAACAATAAATGAGATTTTTTTTTATTTCTGTTAATCCATATTTATGGGCTACCAATTCATTCTATGGAACAAAAAATAAAGAAAATTTTATCAAACATTAATTTTAATCATTTATGTCACTATACTAAACGAAAATTCCCGGGAACATTGATGGTGGTGATGGTGGCGGCGGCGATGACATGGTGGTTGGTGACGATGGTGGAAGTGATGGTGGTAATTGCGATGGTGGTGGTGGTGGTGACAACAGTGGCTGCGATGATGGTGGTGGTAGTGGCATGGGTGGAGGTGGTGACAATGGCATCGTGGCGGCGGTGGTGGTGGAGGTGGTGACGACGACATTGGTGGCACAATGACGGCGACGACGATGGTGGTAATGGTGATGATGACGATGATAGTGATGGAGAGTGATTGAGAGAAATAAATGTTTCTCATTTTGTGCCCGGTATAAAAAAATAGAAAAAAATTTTATTCTTTTTTCTGTTCCCAACATAAAATTTAAATCGATTCACTCCGGAAACAAAAAAAATAAACCGATTTTACCAAACGAGTTTTCTATCCATCTCTGTTCTCGGAAACAGAAATTAAAGAAAAATTTGATTCCGAAAAGGTTGTCATGCATACCATTAATGTTCCAAAAAAAAAAATGACATGGATTCATAACTACCATGTCACTAATTAACGGAACAAATTTTTAACGATTATTAATTTCTAAGTATAGCTTTTTTTTCAGTTAGGATTTTGCAGACACTTTTGGTCTTTGGTTACATTAATTTAATTGAGATGCGTGTAATTTATGATTAAACTTAAAAAATAAAAACAAAATGTAATTGTTAATGCTCTTTTTTTATTTTAGCATGATATTTTTCTGTTATTTCCTCCAAGTGTGCAAACATTAATATATGGCAGAGCCACATTCGTAAGATTCAAACTGAAACTTTCCGAAGCAACAAAGTGAGGCTGAAAAGAGGCAAATACCTGTTTAACCATGGTTGGATAGCTACATTAGTCAAAAGAAGAAGCCACTTCATCAGGAAGTTCACTTCAATCCACCTTAATTGTGGTCTTAATTGTCAAGGGCATATCCATCGATTCAATAACTCATTCTTTGAATTTCTCAATGAAAGGGGGTAGGTTTTCAAGCTATCCATGTAGAAAACTCCCTCTTTTGTAGTTAGTACACAAACAACTAGACACATGCATGCATCATCCCTAATCAAAATTGTGTTCATCAAAAACTCAACATGACTTTTATAAAGCTAATTAACTCTAAACTAGTTTTGTCAAAATATGACACGAACAAGGCCTGTGTCATTTACACTTTACAGTACCTGATCGAGAAAACGTGGCTTCATTTTTATCATACGACAATATTACATATGAACCTTGTTATATATATATGCATTTCTGTGATGCAAATATGTAACACCTAGTCAGAACTCGGAGCATGACTGCCTTACTTAGTCAGTGGGAATGAGTTGAATATTGTAAAGTCTGTGTTTGAAACACACACATTTTGGTTCTTTCAATTCGAAATTTAATATAGCAAGTTTCTACGGTTGGACCAGGAAAAAGTCTAACTTTATCATGTATTTAGAGACACTCCCTCACGTAAATTGTACATTTCTCTTTTTATAGGTATGAGTTGATCAAATTAATGCTTAAAATTTTGGATCTAATTAATGAAATTATTTCACGAGTGATCAGAGATCATGCTTAGATTATCTAAAATTTAAATTTCATTCAATTACATCTGACACCTATTTTAAATTGCATAATATTAATACTCTCTGGAACTCTCGTAATCACAACGTAAGCATTTGAGATAATACCTCACTCACGCAAACAAAAATTGGATTATTGATCCCATTTTATATAGTTGTACTTGTAACGCTGCTATGATCCTTTCCTACCTACTATGTGATGTAGGCCTGTTTGGTCTTAAAAATAAATTTTATGAATTGGCACACATAGAAAATATTAGTATATAGAGAAACAGGAGAAGAGACAACCGTGAGGATGTTAGGAAGTGCCAAAAAAAAAAAAGGATTGATAGTTCTGTTATCATTTTACTTGATAATTTATGTCATATAATTTTTATTTTATTTTTGACAACTTTCTATTAAGCCAAAAGATGTTAGCAATAATGAAATTATTAAATGCATAATTATGCACTTACTAGTTGACAAAGATTGTATACATACGAGAAAGTCAAATTTCCCTCTCCACGTACCAAAAAAAAAATTTCCCTCTCCACTCCGAATAAACGGATCAAAATTCAAAATATTGTAGTTTATCGATTCCTATGTGAAATTTGAAAGTTACCAAAATTTTACGAGAAAACTAGTTAATTGATTGCTTGTTTTTTTTTTTTTTTTTCCGGAGAACATTCACATCATTGTGAAGCTAGTTCTCTCAAAGAGAATTTCATTTATAATGCATGCTACCACCTTTACTCTTTCAGTTTCAACACTGATTGCTGCTACGTACAATTAATTTGCAACTTGCAGTTAACTACTATATTCTAATCTATGATCAGGTTAACGAAAGCTGTTTTATTACAAAAAAAAAAAAAAACGAAAGCTGTTTGATTTAAAATAAAACTTGTAAATAATGGATCTTAATTAGCAAGACGTAGAGGGTACTCAAGAGGAGTTCATTCTAATAAGGTGTCCCAAAAGAGTCCCTTTTTTTTTTTTCAAACAGTACAACTTCGGGGCAAACAGTATGTATTCCGCTGAATATTATATTGTCCACTCTGTTGAAAATCGTTTAGGAGAGGCATTTACATCCAAATCCAATAAATTATAACAACTACATCTTATTTTTTCCTCGTAAAATAATATTTACTTTAAATTACTCAGTTTTTTAACGTGTCTTGTTTTACTCACATAATTATTTAAAACTTACCTTGGAATTCGGAATAATCTTTCTTGGATTCACACACAATAATATTTCTTTTAGAAAATAATTGACTTTATATCATTTATCAGGAGGAAAAAATATTTTTCCTATAATGTATTTGAAAAAAAAAGGGTATTTCAATAAAATTCATGAAACAATAGAAAGCTAGTTTTTTTTGAAAATTCTTATATTTTTTTCTAAACCTTGAAATAATTTTGTTTTAAAATTGCTAAAAATAATTTTATCTCTTATTAGATGTGAAATATTTTTTTCCATATTTTATTCATGAAATCTTTACTCTCTTTTTTAATAGTGTACCCGCATATTCACTTACGTCTTAATAGTCAGTCGTCAATTCCAAGTTTCCAACTGATATTTGTACAGACAAAATGCATGCTAAAGGAACAATACGAAGCAGGGAAGAAAGACAGATATAAGAAAGGTTGTTGAGTTTCGTGCACGGATCAATAGATGTTATATTAAGTAAGGGAAAAGTATTTTTCTGCGAGATAAAGTTATTTTCGGTGAAAATAATGTTATTTTGAAATTATAAAATTAAAAATTATAATGATAAAGACTAATATAATCTTGTAATATATTATAATTACAAAAACGTCTTAATTTTCGTCTCAAAACGACATCATTTTAAGTTCACTGGAAATTGACTGAAAAAATTCTTTACTCGTTAAGTAATATTCACAACCTCGAAATAATCAGGTCTGTACTTTCTTTTAACGAGTATATCTTTTTTAATATAATAAAAATTACAAATTAATTGATAAAAGTTATATACAAAATAAAAAATATTTTATTTTTATTAATTTATAAATTATTTTTATCCAATAAGAAAAATTTAGTATAAATTAAAAATAAATTATCTCGTATATTATATATAATATGAACATATTAAATAATAGGATCTAATTACTTATGGACAATTTAAATAGGGTTTTATTAGTGTTATGTAACATAATGTAAGTGTTGTTTCCAACTCTCACATCAAAAGGGAGAGAGAAAGTGAAATGATGAAAGAGAAAGAAAAACATGTGGACCCCACTTCTTTAATGTGTGTGTAGAAAAGTGAAGTTATATTATGTTAAATGATAAACATAAAACTCATTTAAATAATCCTTTGATTTTTTATATTTACAGAGATATAGGAAATCGGAACAAGGAATAATCACTGCTGGCTTTAACTAATTTAAAATTCAACAACCATCAGTTTTGTCCTGGTCCATTGGATGAAAATAATAATATAATTTTAACAAAAAGTTGGTAAATTGGTATGGATCGGAATCTACTGGACCATTTAAAAGGACAAGGAGGTATCGGGAACCCAAGGTGCTCTGCTTATGAGGTAGAGAACCTTCTCTCCATACAATTTGGCTTGAAGTTGATTTTAATTTTTTTGGTACGGTTTAAGTGATAGGCGAAGAAGAGTGCACAAGGATGGGAAGAGCTCCTTGTTGTTCTAAAGTTGGGTTGCACAGAGGTCCATGGACTCCTCGAGAAGATGCATTGCTCACCAAATATATTCAAGCACATGGAGAAGGCCAGTGGAGATCACTACCTAAAAGAGCTGGTAAGACTTAATTGGTTCCTCTTCATCTGTTGCCCTGCTTCTCTCTTATTAATATATATATATATATATATATATATATATATATATATATATATATATATATATAATGTTCATCTTCAGTCTTCACCTTCGTGATCCCGGTTCATCATGATTTTTATAATTGTAATCTCTCATATTCTATTCTTGATTTGTTTTTCCCCTTCTAAACCCGTGGTTTTGTTCACAACTTCTTTATATTTCTTCCTCTCTTTTTTATTTTTTTATTACCAAAAATTTGTTATAGGTACGTTTATGTACATGGCTCATGCGGTGTATCTTTCTTTCCTCCTTTCTTTTTTTACACCAAAATTACACTTGATAGTTTTTAATTTTTATAATTAGACGAAAACAACATTTCAGTTCAAGTTGTAAGTTTACTTGAGCTTATTTAAAGAAAAAAAAAAGTTTTATCTTATATATATAAAAAAGTAGTAAGTTTATTACTTCATTGTATTTTTTTTTTAATTTAATTTAATTAGATAATAATTTTGTTGGTGCTTGATGCAGGGCTTCTTAGATGTGGAAAAAGTTGCAGACTGAGATGGATGAATTATCTGAGACCAGATATAAAGAGAGGTAACATAACTCCCGAAGAAGATGACCTTATAATTAGAATGCATTCACTTCTGGGAAATAGATGGTCCCTCATCGCTGGAAGAATACCGGGACGAACTGATAATGAGATAAAGAACTATTGGAATACCCATCTCAGTAAGAAACTGAAAAATCAAGGAACAGATCCAAACACACACAAGAAGTTAACAGATCCAGCTCAAGAACCAGCAGCGAAGAAAAAGAAGAAGAATAAGCACAAGAGCAACAAGAACAAAGGAGGAGCAGAAGTAAAGGCAGAGAAGGCCATAGTTTATCTACCAAAGCCCATAAGGGTAACGACTTTATCATCTATAAAATTACCTAGAACGGATAGTATCTTGACCTTGGATTCCAACTCAGCTAGTGCAACAACAAGCCAAGAGAAAGAGCAAAGCCAAGAAGCCAAAGAGTTAAACGTGGTTTGGGGGGTAGGTAACGAGGGAGAAAATGACGGGTTTGGATTCTTTGGTGGTGAAGACCATGTCATAGTCAACATCTCTGACATTGAATGCCAATCTGATTTTCTCACGGATCATGGAACACTCGAGAAGCTCTATGAAGAGTATTTGCAGCTCTTGAAGGTTGAAGAGAACCCGGACTCGTTAGATTCTTTTGCTGAATCTTTACTTGTGTAAATGTTTTATCATAGTAAAAATGTTTGAGCAGATTGATTAAATAAAAAATAAAATTTGGTCGAGCATGTCAATAGAGATCTCAATCTTTTTAGCATTTGAGAAAATAGAATGCACTTCTATGAAAGAGAAATGTTTGAACCTTAGATTCTCACGTGCTTACCTTCTAGCTCTCCCTTACTGTTAGATATATACAAACAACGCTATTTACAATATTTTCTTTTTATTTTATTTTTATGTATAACATATATTTTTAAGAAATATGTCACTCGTATTTTATCTCATTCACATATAAAAAATAGATGAGATTTATTTTTGTCTCTTTCTCTCTTCTCATTAATCAATGAGCTAGTCTTATTCACTTTTTTATGTGTTGCATGAAATAAAATTATCTCATACAATATGATAAACACATACTTCCTGTGTTTTTTTTTGTATAACCTGAAGGGTATCCCTATTCAACCTCCTTTAGTCATCTTGTTACGACTCGAAGGCTACCTCTCGTTGGAACAGCGACTTCGAGGAAAGAAGCAACATGATTTGAACCCCTAATGGAAACAAACCCTTAAAAACTCAGTTTCCAATTGACCTATCTTTGAAGATTACTCCCCGTGACTTTAACGTTAAGCTTGTTTGCATTTGAAAAACAATTGAAAGAGTTATATATCAAAATCACTCACACACACGTATGTTAGTCGCTAACGATTAACGGCTTTAATTTATTATTAATGTGCAAATAATGACATTTTAGAAAGAAAAAAATTAACTTTCAAAATGACTGAAATAGTAAATAAGTTTGATCTCAAAGACATTTTTACAAGGCTGGAATTTCAATACCCAAGAAACTATCCTAGATGGAAATTAATCTCATACTCCACAAATATGGAGATATATCATAACTAAAAAATCTATCATCCTAGAAAAAACATAATACATAAGTTAGAATATAATATATGCAATTAAATTAAATTCATAATATTTCATAAAAAAATTATTTTTCTATTTAATTTTTTTTTTCATTTAGTAAAATGAATTTTGTTTTGTTTAATCACGATAGAGGATCAATAAGACATTAATTGTTTTTCTCAACTCTATTTTTATTTCTTGGTGTATCTAATAAATAAAATGACAGAAATCATTCATAAAATGATAATGTTTTGAGTATTTCAATTTAAAATAATTTAGTCAAATATAACTATAATTTCTTCTAGTTTAGACTATTTAATGAAAATTGTAATCTGTGTATAAATATCTAAAACAATAAATATTTTAAAATAGATGTAACACTATATTTAATTGAAAATAATATTTTAGAATAATAAAATATTTTTTTCTTTAATTTTTCTTTTTTCTTTCCTTTCTAGAATCATTTTCCAGTTATATTCTCATTTAATGAAAATTAAGTACATAGCTAAAGGAGTAATGCTGCATACCAAAAAAAATAAAGGAGTACTAATGCTAACTCACCTGGATGTAAGGCTAAGCAAATTTAAAAAGAAAAAAATATTATTAGAATTCTATAACAAAATGAGTGATCATGGGTTGTTCAAGTATTGTTGAATCTTGACATATTCTGATTGAATTGTATTCAATTTTTAAATGAATTTCATTTGAAGTGAAAATTTCACTTTAAAAGAAAAACAAGGAATTATAATATTAATAAGAAAATTAATCAAGTAAAATTAACAATTTTATAGTTTATTATATCTTATACTATTATAATCTTAATAGTTTATTTCTAATAAAAATTATAACTATTAAATTCAAATTTAATTTCAAACTGTGCTGTATTAATTTTAAAAAAAAAAATGGTCCATCTTGACATTATAAATCATAGCAACTCCTAGTGCAGATTCCAGATATCAGTGACAAAAGGTCACGGACAAATCTTCGGTACTATAGGAATATCGAATTCGGTGTTCTTCTTTTCTGTTTTTGGGAAAAAAAAATTATTCCATTTAAATCTACAATTTCATTTTTATTTCACTCTAAATCCTAACATTTTACTCTTTTTAGCAAAGTTGTATATACAGTGGGGCACTGAAAGATTTGTTCAAAGGTCACGAAGTTCTAAGTACTGACACAAGATTCGTAACATATCTTTCGTATAGCACAATAGTATTCCGGAACGGCATCCTCTGATTTTTCTAATATTCTTTTCTTAACTTATTGACAACCCTCTTGAACTGTCATTTATTAGAAGTCAATCCGAAATTCGAGCTAGAAGAAGTGATATATAGTTAAATGGAAACGTCCCAGATATCTTCTATCTCACGGTAAGAGGAGGACATTAATATTTTTTTTAGTGCCAATTTTAATTATATTATTGACTGAGATCCATAAATATTAAAATGATACATTCCGGTAGAATCAATGATATATAATATCAGTAGCATATTTTCTAAATATTTAGGTTCGGATCATGCAGTTGCTACTCTGAACAACTTGTCAGAAAAGTTTGATTTAAACCAGAGCCAGCTGATCTTGCATGAATTAATTAATTAGGTTCTTATGGCCTTTTCTGTACAGAAAATCATGCAGTTGCTACTCTGAACAACTTGTCAGAAAAGTTTGATTTAAACCAGAGCCGGCTGATCTTGCATGAATTAATTAGTTACGTTCTTATGGCCTTTTCGGTACAGAAAGAAGTTGGTGTTTATATATAATGAAAATATTTTCTCATGTTAGAGGAGATAATATTTTTTCTCCTACATTAATAAAAGATGGGTCTTATAAAATTTTTTATTATATTTTATTTTTTATAAATAGTGAGGCTGACAGATTTATCTCTATAATATAAGATAATTTATTTCCTTTAACATAAAATTAATAACACCCTTATATATGTGTGTGTGAAATGTTCTATGCATCTTTTGACAAAAAAAAACAGTTTATCTATCATAGAGGGGGGGGGGGGGGGGGAATGGGGTGAAATCTATCAGTTACCATATTCTCTTTTTTTATGGGTTTCTCTTTCTCATTTTTTTTCCTTTGTGGCAGATAAAAAATTTCTGTCACAGTGCACAAAGCATTTTCTTTTATATATATATATATATATATATATATATATATAAAAACTATTTATCTTTTTAAAGATAAATTAGTGATTATAATTATGTACGTCGGGAAGTATAATATGAAAAATTATTTTTTTCTCTATTTTCAAACACTTTTCAAAAAATTGTCTGTTGAAATGAAAAGAGAAAAAAATAATTTTTTATATTATAACTATGTACTCCCCAAAGTACATGGTTATAATCACTAAAATTACATAATCTTAGATCCTTTAAAAGGACAATATATAACACTCAATTTTAGTTATTACTCTATTTTTATTTAATAATTTTAATTTATTAATCACATTGATTATTAAATACAAGTAAAATTAATGATTAATATTAAGAATATAATTTATACCAATATAAAAATTATTTTGTACTTAATATTAATATTAATATATGCAGAGAGAGGGGAATGTGAACACATTTCTATGACGTAGGAATCAATGATTTTATATCGATGTCTTTTTAATAACAGGATACCTGCTTATTTTATAAGATATTGGAAAAGTTGGAATCAAATGCAATAATTGATGGACAAATTTATCCTAAAAAAAATCATAGATGTAAAATAGGATAAATTTGTTTGACCAACTTAAATACCCCGACAAAATAAGTAAATCGTCCTAATAAAATTAATATTTAATTCTTTTTTTTACCAAATTTATCCTTGATTGGAGTCACCTGTAAATTTAAAAATAACAAATTTAACTATTAATTTTCAGAATATTAATTTTTTTTTAAGTTTAATAAATATTATTTAAAATAAACACATATTCATTTTAAGAAACAATTAATTCAAAATATTTTTTTTAAATGATTTAATCTTTAGATTAAAATAAATAAATTATTAAACTCTAATAATAAGAAGAAAAAAAGAGCTAATTCAAATCACTATTAACTCACATTAAACTAATTAATTAGACTACTAATCTACTAGTTATAATTAAAATCACTATTAACTCACATTAAAATGTTTCTGCAGTTAATGCAGATAAGTTATTTGCATTTATTCTCAAAACGACGTCGTTTTGGGATTGAAATCTTAAAAAATTATAAATATAAAGACTATTATAATCCTGAAATAAATTAAAATTACAAAAACACCATGATTTTCGTCCCAAAACGACGTCGTATTACCTTACTGCAGATAACTTATCTGCAGTAACTGCAAAAAAAGCGAACCTTAAACTTAAATCACTTTGATGACTCAGTCCAAATTAACACATTAAAATAAAAATCGCCAGTTGCCGGAATTGACATTCATAAACAAAACAACAATAAATGAAATAACAACTAAATAAATATGAAAAGTTGGTAGCATAATGCTATCTATACAAATAGCATAGTTAGTAGATACAAGCATTTACAATTGTCTGATCTGACTAAAATAAGTTTGCAGCAGAATCTGTTGCAATCTTCCTCGCGGCCATTTATTAAAAAATGGAAAATGATGTCAAATAATAAGTTTAATTGTCCACACTCTATTTGACTTTGATTAACCTTTTAAACTCATGACCTACCCTCCAAATCAGAGATAAAGCGGGATTCTTTATCATTCATACATCATTATTATATTATTTATTATTAATGCTAAAAGAATTTACCTTTTTGTTCAAGAATATATCATAGTGCGGCTTCCATTATTTTTTGATAAATCACGTGTACATTTTATGGATGATAATTCTGTTCAGGTCAGTTTAAGATTAAGATTTTAAATTTCTTTCAAAAATAATATTAAAAAAAATTAAATATATACTTTTACTCTCGTCTACTCGACTCTTATACATGAACTAAACTCTTATCTAATAAATATATATATTTTTACTCTCGTCTACTTTACTCTGGCCTTTACGCATATTGAGTGGCAGTATAAATAAAATAATATAATATAAGTGATAGTTGAGTCAATATGAAACTGAAATAATGAAAACGGCAGGAATTATTGATCTTTTTTTTTGGTGAATAA